CCCATATGTTTTGTCAGTTTCCAAAAATGTTGCTGCTGTCTGTTGCCTGCTGCCCTTTCCTGTCCTGTACTCTACAGCTTCATAGGCTTATTTACTTTTTCATGACCATGGTGCCATTTTAAGGGGCTTGGTGGAGATCAGATAGAAAAGTATGCCTTCCATCCGCCATGCTAACTAGAGGCACTTTTGACTCCCCCCGCCTTTTTTTTTTTTTTTTTTTGAGTTGGAGTCTTACTCTTGTCATCCAGGCTGGAGTGCAGTGGCGCGCTCATGGCCACTGCAGCCTCAAACTGCAGGGCTCAGGCGATCCTTCCGTCTCAGCCTTCCAAGTAGCTGGAATTACAGACACATGCCACCACGCCCGGCTATGAATCCCATTTTTAAAGGGAAACGTATGCACATATTTGCAAATAACAAAGCATATGCTGAACTTCTTAGCAGAGGTCATCTCTGGATGTGAGTTATGGCTAGCTTTTCTTTTTTTTTTTTCCTTCTCTTATATTTTTGAAAATTCTCTACAGTAAGATATATTTTAACTAGAAAACATCCAAGTAAAATGATGTTCTATAAATGTAATAAAAGATTTTATATTATTGCTATTAGTTTCAGGTTCAACTGTTGGGTTGAACGGAATGAAACTGCTTTTTTTGCAGGTAAAGCAAAGACTGAGCACCAGCGGTTTAGTGTGGCTCTACTTTATCTATCCAATAAAATGTCGGCCTCAAGGTGACAATACCTGGAAAGTAGAGTCTGGACTGGCCAGGTTCAAAAGGAAGCAAGACAAAAACACCAGGCATGTGCTGTTCTTGAAGAGCCGTTTTGGCTGGGTCCGCTGGTTGAAGAGACTTGTGCTGACCTGGTAAATGGGAGCACAAAGTTTTTTTTTTTTTTTTATTTGAGTTGGAGTCTCACTCTGTCGCCCAGACTGGAGTGCAGTGGCCACTCCCGGCCACCGCAGCCTCGCCTGCTGGGCTCCGGTGATCCTTCCGCCTCAAGCTTCCAAGTAGCTGGAACTACAGGCGCGCTACCACGCCCAGCTGATTTTTTGATTTATTGTAGAGATGAGGTCTCACCGCCCAGGCGGGTCTCGAACCCGCGGGCTCAGGCAATCCACTCACCTCAGCCTCCCAAAGGCGGGGGATTACAGACTGAGCCACCAAGCCCGGCTTGGGAGCACATAGTTTTAATGAAACTGATAAAAACAGTATTATTGTAGTTTCCCCTTCTCTGCTGTTTTGATTTCCTCGGTTTCAGTTACCCATAGTCATCTGTAGTCACAAAATAGTAAATGGAAAATTCCATAAATACATAATTTCTTAAGTCTTAAGTGACATGCTGATCTGAGTAGTGTGATGGAGACCTGCATTGACCCTCCGTCCCATGAGCTGCGCTCTGTATGCTTCCTGCCCTCAGTCATTTGGTGGCTGTCTTGGTGATTACATCAGGCATCACAATGCCTGCGTTCAAGTAACCTTTATTTTATTTAATAATGGCCCCAATGTTCAAGAATAGTGATCAGGCTCAGTGGCTCAGTCTGTAGTCCCAGCACTTTGGGAGGCCGAGGTGAGAGGATTGTCTGAGCCCATGGGTTCAAGACCCACACAGGTAACTTGTCAAGACCTAGTCTCTACAATAAATCAAAAATTAACCGGGCGTGGTAGCACGCGCCTGTAGTTCCAGCTACTTGGAAGGCTGAGGTGGAAGGATCGCAGGAGCCCAGCAGGTCGAGGCTGTGGTGGCCAGGAACGACTGAGTGAGACTCCAACTCAAAAAAAAAAAGAATAGTGATGCTGGCAATTCAGATATACTAAAGAGAAGCCATAAAGTGATTTTTTTTTTAAGTGAAAAGTTGAAAGTTCTCAGCTTGATAAGGAAAGAAAAAGAGTCATATGCTCAGATTGCTAAGCTCAACAATAAGAATAAATCTATCTGTGAAATTGTGAAGATGGAAAAAGAAATTTGTGAATAATATATATAGGTCTTGGTACTATCTGTAGTTTTAGGTGTCTACTAGGGGCTTTGGAATATATTCCTCGTGAATAAGGAGGACTATTGTTTTTTCTTCATTTCTCCCTTACTGATGCTTCCAAAACACATCATATCTTTGTACTAGAATTCCCTCAGCCTGTCTTTCTGTCCCTCCTAGATTGTAAAACTATGTGAAGGCAGAAATTATCTTACTGGTAGACTATCTGGGGAGACATTGTTCATTGCATCACATAGTGCTTTCTTTATAATAATTTATGGAAGAAATTTCTCACAGGTCAATGGCTTGCTTTTATTTTAGGAACACAGTGTAATGTGTGCCAGATTATATTCCCCCTTTTTGCATTGGCTGCTAGGAAGCTCAGAGTCACAATTGTGCCACAGGTGCCTTTTTGAAATCTCCACTTATACATCTCAGGGTATTTTTAATAGTTCCTTATTTCTGCTGTAACCATTACCACAAATTTAGTGGCTGAAAACAACATGACTTTATTATCTTACAAATTTGGGGATCTGAAGTCTGAAATCATTTACACTGGGCTAAATCAGGGCCATGTCCCTTCTGGAGGCTCGAGGAGAGAGACCATCTTTCTGCCTTTTCCATCTTCAAGAGACTGCCTGCATTCCTTGACCTGTGGCCTTGATCCTCTTGTCTCCCTCGTAGAAAGACTTCTAACTCCAGGATCGTCTCCTCATCTCAAAATCCTTAACTTAAACTATAGTTTAAGTGTCTATAGTGTCCTCTTTTTTCCATATATTCGCAGGTTCTGGGTATTAGGACATGAACATCTGTGGGGGTGGGGGTGGTTATTATTCAGCCTACCACGTCCTTTTCAATAGTAACTGTAGAAAGTGGAAATTTTGACTCTCCTAATCAAATTGTACCTCTGCTTACTGTCCCGCTGCCTTCACTGCCTGTCTTGAGTAGACGGCCCTTCCATGTGCCAACTGTCCACATCAGACACGTGGTTCCATGCTCGTTCCCACCTCCAAATCCCTCATGTTCTGTCATACCGATTTCTAAGGTGTATCTAGAATTTATCCACATCACTTTGTGGCTACGGCCACCACCCCGGGCAAAGCCACCACCGTCTCTTGACTGAACCATCGTGAAGGCCTTCGGACTTGCCTCTTTACTTCAACTCTTGCCTTTCTCTAGTCTGTTCCCACGATTTGTTTACAAACTCGGGGCAACTCATGCTACTTTCCTGCTTGAGCACCTCCAAGAGGTTCCTCTCTCATGCTGAAGAAAATCCAAATTCCTCCTCATGGCTTAGCAGGCCCTGTGGTCTGGCCTGGCTGTCTCTCTGACAACATCTTGCTCCACTCTCTGCCACCACAGTTTGGGCACACTGGCCTCGCTGGCACTCTCCAGCCCGGCCACACCTCTCACACATGCTTCCTCTGCCTGGCATGCTCTGCCAACTCTTCCCTGACTCCACCGTGTCCAGCTCTTGCTCCACGTACATGTCTTCTTGAAGCAGCCATTTTTCACAGCCCTGTCTAATGGGATCCTCCCTACTCTACCTCACATATATTTTTCTCCACCACTTCACCTTTTATGTAGTCTTCAGACTTCTCACTATTGATAATTGCTTTGTTGTTGTGATGTCGTTTGTTTTCTCTATCAGATTGTTAATTCTCTCAAGGCACCAGCTGTTTCTGTCTTGTTCATCCCTGTGTATGATGCCTCGTAAGTATGTGGACTATTGTAGGTGCTGAGTGCATTTTCTGTAGCACCCTTACCCTGACTTTATCTTACCATTTTGCTTTTATTTTTCCTTTGTTCTGATTTTTCCTACTTTCTGTTGAAATGAGAGAAAAACTCACAGCCTCCGGGCTCTTCTCAGGGTTGTGGGGTGGGGAGGTAGAGCTGCCTCTGCCGGTCCCCTTCCCCAATTAGTACTGCCTGTTATGGGTAGAAGAAAAGTTTTCTACTAGTTATTTCTTCCCAGGGAATGTGGAATTTCCTAATGGAATGCTAGAATAGGGCCGTGAGCTGTCTAAAGGGAAAACCAGAATGCCTTTCTGGACCAAAGATTACAATTTCTCTGGATAATAATGTAAAAGTTCATTTTCACTGACTGGGAGTAGATGGCTTTTTTTAGAGAGAGATCAGTAGGATACTTGCTCTTCCTACCACCTCAGGTAAGACTGGAGAGAAAATAAAAAGTAGGGCTCTGGATTCTAGGAAGGAAGGACAAGGCTCAAGGCTCTGTCGGAGGCAAGCAGGAACCTTGAGACGAGCGGGGTGTAAGCGTGTGTGCGATCCCTTCAGGAGAGAGCTGAACAGGAGGGCAGACCTGGGAGAAAGTCCTCAGCTCTTTTCTCCTGAGCTCCGCCCCCAAAGTGACGGCACACAGGGCATCTTCCTTTATCTCTGTGCAGTGGTCATGTTTCTTGGCACAGAGCCTTGGACCCTGCATACGTGCTGCTTTTCTCTCCAGAGCTCGTCTGTCTAAGGAGCTAGAGAGCAGCTTAGAGATTTAGGATCTCCATGGGACCAGGAGAGCCTGGGCTGGCATCCAGTGTGTTGCTCTGATCCAGGACCCCCTTCCCTATAGGTGCCACATGCCATGATTTATACACAAACATGATTTGTCTGATTGTTGCAGTCTGGGCCTGGAATAATTTTAATTAATTGGAAAATGGTCCTCCATACACTGATTAGACCTCTTCAGGTACAACAAGATAAAAGCCTGATAATTTGGATGGAGTACTCTTCTTAAACGTCTACTCTATGCACGGCAGCCAATGGGAAAGCCAGGCTCTCTCCCACCTGATGCAATGAGTAATTAAGAGAGGGCTTTTTCTTCCCTACCTCTCCCCTCCCTCCACCCCGCTCCCCAACTGAAGCTTAACAGGTTGGTGGTATAATGTGGAGACTTGAAGGGGTGTCATCCTAGGAGCTTCGACAAGAGTCAGGGCATCTTCTCCCAGCTCCCCAGGCACTGCTCAGCTGGATTTGCAAAGCAGACAAGTGAGGGAGGGAAGGAGCTTGAAGCAGGCGAGGCGGGTCGTGGCTCTCAGCAAAGTTTGAGAGGGGCCTGCGGTCATGAGTGAGCTGGGCAATCCCAAGACCAGCGATGGCACCGTGTCTCGCCTGCTCAATGTGGTGGAGAGTGAGCTTCAGGCAGGGAGGGAGAAGGGCGACCCTACGGAGAAGCAACTTCAGATCATCCTGGAGGATGCCCCGCTCTGGCAGAGATTCAAAGAAGTCACTAATGAGATGATTGTGACCAAGAATGGCAGGTAAGTGTATCTGCTGCCCTGTTTGGGCTGGCAGGGCTTGGCAAGGGAGGTGAGACCCCTTGAATCTGGAAGGGCTCTCTCTCTCCATGCAGAGGTGACAGGGTCTGATTAAACACGCTCGACAAGGACCGTCTCACAGCCTTTCCCCAGCCAACTTAATTAATTTCTTTGAGATCATCAGAGAAGTAGACGATGAAGCCACCTGTCCCACGTGCATTTTAGATGGAGAGATGCTGGGAGATTACTATAAGGGGGGGTCGTGCCCCTTGGGTGGGGGAAATGCACTCATGTCAAAATAATATTCGCGTTTGACTGACTCCACACTCTGGCACAGATCTGAGCCCCAATTGGTGCAGATAAGGTGAAAGTCAACTTTGTTTGGAAGCGGGATGGTTTCCTCTTAAGTATGGCACACTCACCAGAAATTTTTGACTAGGTGAAGATTAGGAGCAAAAGGGCAAATTGAGTCTCATTGCCTGTCGCTCCATCCGCTTCCCCGGATGCGTCTGTGGTGAGTGCTACCTTGAGATTGTGTGTGTCAGTGATGGTGGGGAGGCTGTTGCAGTCATCGGGAATGGAACCCTGTTTACTCTGCCTCAGAGATGAGGAGATGCCTTCTTTTTTCTCCCTGCGGCAAACAGGGATGAACTGAAACTGATCTCTGCTGGCGTTTTTTGGATTCTCTTAAACCTAGTCCACGAAGGGGTCATCAAGCTAATGTTAGAAGCTTTCATGGAGTAGAGGACGTACAAATAATTTGAAAGAAAATCTCACTGCTTGCAGCTTGGACAAACCGGCTCCTGATGTTCCGTTGATGCTCACATATCTTTTGGTACACGTGGTCACAAAAATACAGTGTTGAAAGGCATTTTCAGTAGGTTAGTTTTGGCAGGACTTTCACTGTGACACTACTGAGAGAATTCTGCTAACAGAGAAAACTCGGGGTCGACTGAACTTTCTGGCAGGCTTTTATTTTTGCGCAGAATTCCTCATGTCTCTATTTTTAAATAAAGCACAGTGTGGAAAACAAACTATTTCTTGTCCATCTGGGAAAATTAGGAACTCAAGAGCTATTACATAACATTAAAGCACTTTGTAAGTGAAAGTCATACCCGAACTAAGAGTATTTCAATAAATTGTGATTATACTAGTAGCAGGAACATCCACCTTACTTGATATTTTTGTTTTCTTTCTCTAAATGGATTGCATACTTATATCATACAAGAGATTTATTGCTTTTAATATTTGTGATTGTAATTACACTTGTTCCTTCTCTTGATCTATATTTACACATCATGAAAAACATGTTTTTAATTTCAAAGAATCACCTTAGATTTTTAATTGGATTTTGTCTTTTTCCTTTCAAAGATGAGTGAAGATGCAATTGTAAAAATTTTATTATGCTCAATAATAGGTAGAACTTTCTGTTTATTATTTTTGGTACTTATTGGATAGTAGTTACACTAATTCCTAATTTCACATTGTTTAGTTGGCTGTCAGAGTGGCCATATATTGAAGTAAAACTAAGTACAATCACCAAGTAAAAATATGGTTCATCTATTTCAGCAAAAAATAAATAATAAATGTTTCTGAAACATTATAAAATCAATTTAATTATATGTTAGATTAAATTGTACTTTTTTCATTTAAAAACAGTTTTCTATTGGCTTTTGCTAACCTATATAATTTTTCCCTATATGTTTACAGTAATTTAATATTAACTAGGTGAACAATATTATTTGTTGGAAGGAGTCTAACTGTGGTCAACTTGGTTGTTCTTATCTGTGGATGTCTGGCTGCTATTTTCCCTCCTGTGGATGGAATCTTTTTCTTAAATTCCCTTAAGGTCTCTGGCGTCCCCACAACCCCCAGGACCAAGATTTTGCTAGGAGATAGAAGGTCCTTTTATACTTTGAATAAAGAAGAAAAATTGGTGTGGTTAACAATAAATAAGTTTGGTCTGAAATTACTCTCAGTCTCCTTGGTTTCTCAGATTAGACTCTTTATTTTGAGTCTGAGTCTCACTCTGTTGCCCAAGCTGGAGTGCAATGGCACCCTCACAGCCACCACAGCCTCGACCTGCTGGGCTCAGGTGATCCTTCTGCTTCAATCTTCAAAGTAACTGGAACTACAAGTGTACACCACCACACCTGGCTAATTTTTAAAATTTTATTATAGAGACAAGGCTTTTCCAAGTTGTCCAGGCTGGTCTCGACCCCCTGGGTTCAGGCAATCCTCTCACCTCCAACTCTCAAAGTGCTGGAATTACAGGCGTGAGCCACCATGTCTGGTGGATTAAACTCGTAGTTGCACTTTACAGTTCGTATAGACATGTCTTTTCTGCTTTCTCTTTACTCCCTTCTTCTTTTTTTTCCTCAGGCATTTATTCTTCTGTCTCCTTTTTCCCCATTCTCCCATTGATAGACCCACTGTATCTCCTCCAAATCCCTGCCCTCCATACCAACTCCTCAGCCTGGCACAGGTAGATTTGAGGCTCTTCTTTGTGGAGATGTTCCTGGTGTAACCCCCAACCCTGGCCCTTTCCATCTGCATTACTGTCTGGCCCCGAAAGCGGTGGACTTCTTGATTCTTTAGAAAAAGCTCCAGTTGGGGTAATCAAATAACTCCCGTGCCCTTGAAATCTCATTGTTCTGCATAAGAACAAGTTTTCACACAGCATAGGATAGGCTGATGAAAGAATTAAAACTCTGTCAAATGGAGACCGATTTTCATATAAATAAATAGGAGGTTTGTCTCTGACATTGATCAGAAGCAAAAAAGAGAGAGGATTTTTCCTGAAAAACATAGAATCATCCCCAGAAACTGGGATCCTGATGGTGACCCTTCCTTCCTTCCTTCTCCTTCCTTACTGCTTTCTTTTCTTTTCCTTCCTTCCTCCCTCCCCCCTTTCCTTCCTTCCTTCCTTCCTTCCCTTTCTCTCCTTTCTTCCCTCCCTCCCTTCCTCTCTCTCCCTGTCTCTGTTTCTCCCCCCCATTTTTTTTTAACTTCTTCCTTTCCCTCTCCTCTTCCTTCTTTTCTGCTACCAAAAAGACACCTGCACATGCATGTTTATAGCTGCACTATTCACAGTAGCAAAAACATGGAACCAACCAGACTGCCATTCAAAAATGGACTGGATAAAGAAAATGTGGTACATATACACGATGGAGTATTATGTAACCATAAAGGAGAACAAAATCATGGACCCCCCTCTTTTTAATTTAAAACTTCTAGTTATTCCTATTCAGTAGTCCTTCAGCTACAACAGTAACAATTATAATACCTCCCCAGAGCTCATCTGAGTCATTTCTAGTGCACCCAGCCTATATTTTGTTTCATCTCCATCCTTTAAGTAGAAACTTACACTTTAGGATGCAGAAAAAAATTCATTTCAGACTTCAGAGGCAAATAAATTCAATCTCTTGCTCTCATTTTCTTTACCTGTAACATCTTCACCTGTGGGGAACGTGCTGCATTTCATGTGTGTTTCCACATAGTTAGGTCGTTTTGCCTTAATTCTCATTAAATTTGCCTTGAGCAGATTTTACAAAATTAGGAGCATTGCACATCCATCTGCTGTTATAAGAGTTGGGAATCACTAAGTTTGAATTTGCCGATGATTAGGGGGTACCGACCGGGCTGGTTTCCAGTGAGGACAGTATAGGAGAGGAAAACATTCTGGTTGGACATCAGGCAAATACCTTTCCATGTCCTGCAGTCCTTGGGTTTTTCTCTCTGAATGTTATATTTGCAACTCACAAGGATCGTACGCATTTGTGTAATCTCCTCTAACCAGACACCTTGCTTCCTTGATGCTATTCTTTTTTTCCCTTGTTGCTTTATTTCTAATTGGCACCTTCTGCTATTCTTATGCCTAATCACCTTCACATAAGTGTCACCACCCATGCACCTTGTATGCCATACACACAACACACACACTCAACTATGAAAGCTCTGAGTATTTGATGGATATTATTATTTTATGAGGAGACAGAGGAAGGTGTTTATGGGTAAAGCTTCTTAAATTTTGCTTTTAACCGTCTCTGCTATTTCCCCACCTAAAAATCGATGTCATCTCTGCTTCTTTTCTTCCTGCAAACCTCACTGCTTATAGCCTCCTCTGGTGGTGCTGGTTCTCAAGTTCCATGTCAGTGAAATAAAAATGGGAAAGCCAACCTCGTAGCAGAGGCAGAGCACAGTTTTCAGGTAAAGACCAACACCTGTAGTTCTTCAAGTGTGTTTTTTTGGCGAGTGCTCATTTGCCCTGCCACATTTTCTTCTCTCTTTCTGAGGAGACTTTCTCTGTCTCAAGGGTGGATTAAGTGAAGTTGCACTGTGAATTAGGGACTGATTTACATATTTCTTAGCTCCTCAGAGACTCTGGGTTTCTCTGTGGTTTTTCTATACTGTGGAAGAAAAATGGGGAAAAATATCAACTTGATTAGAAGTGCATTTCATCCCTGAAAACAAAATAACGAGGCCCAGTCACTGGGTGGTACAAGAAAGAAAAGTGAGGTGGGATGAGCTGAACTTGGCCTAGAGCCAGAGTGTGTACCAGTTCCAGTAACAAAACCTTGGACTGATTTTCACTTGTACCTCATTGGCATAATGGAGTTTAAAAACTACACAGCATTCTTTAGTTTATTTGTGTGGCAATACAAAACAAAAACAATTGTAAACTTCTCGGCAAATAAAGTTCTAAAGAAAATAAAGCAATTAATCATTCTGTCATTTTCCAGATATGTCCTCCCTTTAAGAGACAAGGCACTGTGACTTTGTTTTTATTAATAGCTTTATTATGACATAATTCACATATCATACAGTTCATCCATTTAAAATGTACATTTTAATAGTTTTTAGTATACCCACAGAGTTGTGCATCCATCTCCACAGTTAATTATAGAACAATTACATTATTTCAGAAAGAAATCCTGCATTCCTTAGCCATCAGCTCCTCAGCCCCCAGCCAGAGTCTATTTTCTGTCTCTAGAGATTTACCTGTTCTAGACATTTCATAACAATAGAATCACATACTATGTGACCTTTTATGTCTGGCTTCTTTCTCTTACCATAATGTTCTCAAGGTTCATCTATGTTGTAGCATGTATCAGTACTTCATGCCTCCATTGTATGGATAGAACACATTTTGTTTGTCCATGCATCAACTGATGGACATTTGTTTTGTCTACATTTTAACTATTATGAATAATATTGCTAGGGCCACCTGTGTGCAGATTTTTGCATAGAATTATGGGTTTTTATGTGTATATACAGGAGTGGAATTACCAGGTTACATAGTAACTCTATTTAACTAGATAAAGAGCTGCCAGACTGTTTTCCATAATGATTGTACCATTTTCCATTTCCATCAGCAATGTGTGAGGATTTCAATGTTTCTACATCTTTGCCAACACTTGTTACTGTCTGCCTTTTTTATTACAGCCATCCCTGTGGGTGTGAAGTGGCATCTTCTGCAGTACTGATTTTGTGTTTCTCTGATGGCTGATGATGGTTCATCAATCATGGCTTCTTGAAAACATCAGACAGATTCTGACCACAGCACGAAAAAGGAAAGGCCATTACCTATTTCCCTATTGTGAAGTGAAAAGTCATTCTGCATCCTTTGAGAGCCCTCACATGACAGGGTAGAGAGATGGAAGGAGAGCACTCTAACTTGTTAGTCATGGGGTGAAAGTTGGACTTCCTCCCTCCCTTAGCCTCAGCCACTCTGTCCTTCCCTTTCAGTCTCTCAGTAGAGCCTGCAGATGGACTCTTAGCACTCTTGTGCTTGGGGCTTTTTGCCTGTAAGTGCACTCCTCCCGCATTCTGCGTGACTCACGTCTTCCCATTATGTAGGTCGTAGCTCAAATGTCACTCCCCTGACCTGTTAAGGTCTGCAGATCTGGCTAAAGTAGCTCCTTAGCCTTTTGTCTCCCTCTGTGACATCACCTCTTTTAGTTCCTTCATGGCACTCTTGCAATCTAAAATGGTCTTACGCATGAAAAAACAAAAACCTATTTGCATTTTTGTTGCCTGACTTCTTTGCTAGAACGTAAGCTTCATGAACAAGACACTGGGTCTGCAGTTTTTGTCATTGAATCCCTGCCTAGAACAGTTCCTGGCATGGAGTAGTCACTCAAAATCATTTGTAAATAAATCTCAAATTAGGTATTAAGATTTGGAAAAACATTGAAGGGTCTTTTCCTTTCGCCGTGGTTCAACCATATTAACTTTCTAAAAGTCTCAAAAAGGAGAAAGTTTAAAAAAAGGCATGGTAAGCCGGGCTCGGTGGCTCAGCCTGTAATCCTGTGCCTTTGGGAGGCTGAGGTGAGTGGATTGCTTGAGCCCGCGGGTTTGAGACCCGCCTGGGCAGCGAGACCTCATCTCTACAATAAATAAAAAAAAAAATCAGCCGGGTGGGTAGCACGCACCGGCTACTTGGAAGGCTGAGGCGGAAGGATCACTGGAGCCCAGCAGGTGAGGCTGCGGTGGCCGGAAGTGGCCACTGCACTCCAGTCTGGGCGACTGAGTGAGACTCCAACTCAAAAAAAAAAAAAAAAAAAAGGCATGGTGACGGCATGGTGACTGCAATGTAATGTGTGCCTCTTGGGTCCCAGTTTCCTCATCTACAAAATGGGCATAATAACATTTACCTCTTTTAGGGCCGAAGTAATACTTAAATGAGAGATGACATACATTCAGTCCTAGGTGCAGTGTAAAACTCAATAGAGTAGTCCCTCAGTATCTGTGGGGGATGGTTCCAGGACCCCCACAAATACCAAAATCCATGGATCTCAAGTCCCTTATGTAAAATAGTGTAGCACATTTTGCATTTTATAACCTACACACATCTTCCCGTGTACTTTAAATTGTCTCTAGATCACTTATAATACCTAATACAATGTAAATACTATGTAAATAGTTAATATACTGTTTTGCTTTTTATGCATTTTTGTTTTCCTGTCACCCAGGTTGAAGTACAGTGGCATGATTATAGCTCACTGCAGTCTTGAACTCTGGGGCTTAAATAATCCTCCTGCCTCAGCCTCCAATGTAGCTAGGAATATAGGCAACACTACCATACCTGGCTAATTTTTTGTAAAAACTGGATCTTGCTATGTTGCCCAGGCTGATCTTGAACTGGTCTCAAACAGTCTTTCCACCTTAGCCTCCCAAAGTGCTGGGATTACAGGTGTAAAACACCATTCCTGTCTGTTTGTATCTTTTAAAAATAGTTATATCACTATTTATTATTGCATTTTTCCCAAATATTTTTGATGTGCATTTGGCTGAATCTGCAGATTCAGAACCCATGGATATGGAGGACTGACTGTACATGATAACTATTATCATTAGAAAAGCTATCTTGCATTAAATCATCCCTTAATTCATAAATCAGGCCAGGTATGGTGGCTGTCGCGAGGTGGGAGGCCGAGGTAGGAGACTGAGAAGTTCAAGACCAGCCTGGGCAGCACAGTGAAACCTCATCTGTACAAAAGAAATCAAAAAATTAGCTGGGCATGGTGGTACACTCTTATAGTCCCAGCTACGCAGGAGGCTAAGGTGGAGAATTGCTTGAGCCCAAGAGGTCGAGGCTGCAATGAGCTGTGATCATGCCACTGTACTCCAGCCTGGGAGACAGACTCAAAACAAACAAAACAAAAACCAAACCAAAACAAAACAAAACAAAAAACACCAACAAAACAAACCAAAACAAAAACATAAGTCAGAACAATGTGAAACTTCCTAACATTTCACATTATGGAGACATAAGCCACACTGTCATGCTTAAACAACTGCATCCTTATTCTGGTCGTTCAGTGAATGGGGAACACATGCTTCATGAGTTGGTTTCTGTTTTTTTTTTTTTTAACTTTTGCATGTATGATATAGTCTTATTGATAAAAACTTTTGATACTTTTACACTTAAGTGTGCAAAATGACAGTTATATGCATGCCACTCTTGTTTTCTTTACAATAAAATAAAAAGATAAGAAGTAAAATAGATTTTAGCACTTTAGGAAAAGCACTGGGCCGGAACACAGAGACCATTTCTCTGAACACCTCACATAGACAAGCCAGACTCCTCACTGTCCAAATGGCCCTTCATGGTCCCTGCAACCATTTCTGATACCCACTTCTGTGATTCTTGGCAAATGGCATTTATGCTTTCAGATTCTTTCTGTTTTCTACACTTGGTCAGTACTATTCAGATAATTGACAACATTAAAATAATTGTAAAAGAGAATAGTTTAATCTGAGATCAAGAGAAAATAAAAAAGTCCTTCTATTGAAAAGGGAACAAAATAAAACACATCAGGAGGCTTTTACATTACTCAGGCAGCTTCCCTGGAGACTTAGCATTTTAGTTAAGGTAAAAGTGCCATTGGCTCAGCAAGCCAGGCGAGTGAGAAGGTGGGTCACGCAATTCTCAGCTGAGGCCTGGGTTTGGGATCCATCATCTGATGCACTTTTTTCCCCTAGGAATTTTATTTGATTCATATTCTTGTCTTAGCCTCCTACTTAAATTACTTTCCTCTCCTCGAACACACCAAGAGCCTCATACAGTCGTTGTGAGAACTAAAGCGCTTACCCATGCCTGGCTCCTCATGAGTGCTCTGTGGGTGCTGGCTGTGTTGCCCTTGTCCAAGCCCGTCCCAGCCCTGCTTCTGCTCTGGAGATTACCTTAGGTAAGGACTTTTTAAGTTGGAAGCACAAGTGACATCAACTCTACCACTCTTGTGTCTACTGACAAGATCCATGTTTCTCTGCTGTTCTTTCTGGAGAGAAGACTAGGAAGGATGGGGAGGAACTGCTAATGGCTGTGGGGTTTTTTTGTGGGGGGGAGAGTTGAGGTAATGAAAATGTGCTAGAATCAGAATCCAGCCATCAGGATAGCTTATTTAAATATTTGTAAACTTGTTGGTATTGTTCTAGAGGGTGGAAGAAGGATCAATGAACCCGGATCTACATATCTCAAAGTATGTTCCTCGGACACGAATTCTCACAAAATGCTCAGTTAAAAGATAGTCCCACTATCTTTTAGTTTAAAGTTTTGTTTAAGCTAAACTTAGGACATTCACTTTTCCCTCAAAGGGTCATGGGTATACACTGGTGTGGTAAAGGCTCTGAGAAGTCCTGGAGGAAAAGAACAGATCCAACTTTCCACAGCCAAGAATCTCCCTCATGTTACCGTGTAATCATGTTTTTACTGTAAATACTCTTACTGTTATTCGGGCACAACATTCTTTGGGAGACTGGGCATGGTTGGCTGTGTTAGTGTGCCAGAGGGAAGTCTTTGAAGAAAGCTTTCTGTGAGGACAGGCATCTGATTATACATCTTGGGTCTCGATTTCTTCTTCCGTCAAGTGCCTGCATCAGTGATTTGCAGACTTTAAAATGGAGCACGTTTTAAAGAAAAACCCGTTAACGGCTGACAAGTGCGTGTGTGAAAAGAGGCTCTTGTGGAATTGGGGTTGTGGACTTGGGCCCTGTTTTTCTGGTCTCCCTCCCGGGGCATTCCATGGAATGTCTCTTAGAGTTGAGAGACCTCTGGACAAGTGGGGAGGCCCTCACACCCTGCCCTATGGCTAAACGTCTGCCTTTTCTTTTAGACGGATGTTTCCTGTCCTAAAGATCAGTGTCACAGGGCTGGACCCCAATGCCATGTACTCCCTCCTGCTGGACTTTGTCCCCACGGACAGCCATCGCTGGAAGTACGTCAATGGGGAATGGGTGCCCGCAGGCAAGCCTGAGATGCCCAGCCACAGCTGTGTCTATATCCACCCTGACTCCCCCAACTTCGGGGCCCACTGGATGAAAGCGCCCATCTCCTTCAGCAAAGTGAAGCTGACCAACAAGCTCAACGGAGGTGGGCAGGTATGAGCCGGTCCTCGGGCCACCCGCCCGGCCTCCCCACAACACCAATCAAGAAATATCAAGGGTGCATTTAGTCAATTAGAGGTGTCCTCACCAGCCTCTTCTCCCATAGAAGCCAATTATTCCCTGGAGTCCAAATGTAAACAGGAATAAACAGCTCTTAATTGGTGCTTTCAGTTTTTAATGGACTTCCTGATGTTAAGAGAGTGGGAGAGTGCAGTAGTTTACTTAATCATCAGGGCCCTTTTCATAGTTTTGTCTTGTGTGCAGTGCTTTTTACCCAGCCCACGGGAGGGAGATGTTTGTGGGTACCAGGGTTTTGTTATTCCCGCTCCCCTTTTTTGGTGTAAGTGGCATGTTGGCAATAGACAAATACCTTAATAAAAAGCTGCTCCCAAATGAAATAATTACTACCTCCACTTGGGCATTATGATAATTATCAATAGAATATTGAATCAGCTTTGGTTTTTCAGAAAACAGCAATCCAAGCAAACCTTAAATAAGGAAGGTTTTATCTAAAGTCTTCAGTTAGAGTAAACACGGATGTGGGGCTTTTTCCTTTCCTTTTTGTGGTAGGATTGTGAAGACTAGTCTACCATGTAAGGCTGCGAGTTGCTTTATAAAATGTAGACCGTTTCTGGGGATTAGAGGCACAGAGGGGAGGGGAGTGTGCGTTCCTTTCTCCATTGGCGTGTGTGGCTTGGCCCAGCCTCCCAAAATCAGTTCTTGGGCCCCTTCTCTGGTCTCTGTGTGCCCGGCTGGCCGGAGCGGGAGAGCAGGGGGTGCAGGTAATGCCACCTGAGTCTTTGTGGAACTCAGAGGCTTCCAGTTCTTTATAAAACAGGAACTTGAAAAGTCAATTGTTATTGCCTGCCAGATTTCACAGCACGAGACTGTCACTAGACCTCTCACTTGAAGCACAGACAGGGGATTATATGTCACCACTGGATGGCGTATTTCATTACTCTTCGTTTTTTGTCTTTTTTTTTTTTAATCACTGGGCCCTTAACTTCAGATTTCATGACTTGTTAGTCACTTGTAATATGTGGCCATTGTCAGTATTTTGAGTGACTCAAATTCCTCATATTAAAAAACCAAGGCTGGGCACAGTGGCTACGCCTGTAATCCCAGCACTTTAGGTGGCGAAGGGGAGAGGATTGTCTGAGCCCAGGGGTTCGAGACCAGCCCTGGCAACTTGGTGAGACTTTGTCTCTACAATAAATCAAAAAATTAGCCGGGCATGGTGGTACCTGTAGTTCCAGATATTTGGAAGGCTGAGGCAGAAGGATTACCAGGGCCCAGCAGGCCGAGGCTGTGGTGGCTGTGAGTGTGCCACTGCACTCCAGCCTGGGTGACCGAGTGAGACTCTGACTCAAAAAAACCCGACAGTATGTTTTAGTGAATTGAAATCCACATTGCTGTGCTGAAAATACAGTAAGAGAAAAAAGAAAGCAGGATCTTGGCAGGAAATGGAACACTCTTAAGAACAATTCCTCTCTGGCATCTCTGGCAACCCATCCCTGACCCCCAAATATGCTCCCTGGGGGCTTCTGAAAAACTGCCCTATTTGTTTTTCAGAGGTGTGGTGGCCGCTCCCGTGACCTGAGATTTGAAGTGCGTGTCCCTAGCTGGGGTGGGAGGTGGGGGTGGGGGATGCCGAGCTTGGGACTAACCAGAGGGGTGGCTTCCTCTGTCACCTGCAATCATCAGGCTCTGCTGTTCTCCTCTTTCTCTTTTTCTCCCACCTCAACAGATAATGTTGAATTCTCTGCATAAATATGAACCCCAGGTTCACATTGTGCGTGTTGGGGCTGCCCACCGAATGGTTATGAACTGCTCGTTCCCTGAAACCCAGTTCATAGCCGTGACCGCCTATCAGAATGAGGAGGTAAGAGTGTGTGGGGCGTGTGTGTACATGTCACCTGGGGGAGTGTGGCAGGACAGGAAGGGGGTCCTTACAGACAGAGGTAGGTTTTCCAGGACTCGGATGTACTCAGCAGAGATAAAGTTAAACGAGGGGGTAACACTCTCCCCACCTTTGGGCCTGTTTGCTGAAGGCCCACCAGCGTGTGCTTGCCTGTTGCCCACATGGCGCAGCTGTGTGTTGTCCTAACATGCCTGCATTCTGCTGAAACTTGGAGTCTTTGTTTTTGGGACCCAATGTGCCCTCAGCCTGCACAGAGCCAGGTGTGTCTGGCATGGATGTGACCAGGCAGGGCCACCCCACCCCCAAATACCGTCTCGTGCTCTAGAAGCAAGTCTGTGGGAAAGGATCCAGTGAATACTCTCTGCTGGGTTTTACTGTGCTGTTGGTCCTGTTTGTTAACAGTTAGGTCATCTGCTGCCCAGGAACTTGAGCTCTTCTGATTGCGACAGCTGAGTGGTTGGCAACTGGCCTCTCTGTGAGCTGCTTTGAGTCTTTTCATGTGTACTGGGGGTTCACGGCCTCTGATCATCAGAAGTACCCGCAGAGGGTTACATTCTTTTTCATTAAACTTTTTTTAAAAATTGAAAGGCAATACATATTTATTTTAAAAACACATAATAAACCAACAGTATAGAAGTATGCAAAATAAAAATGAAAACTACAAGGTATAGATGGACTGCTTTTCTTTCTTTCTTTTTTTTAAACAAAGACAGGGTCTTGCTTTGTCACCCAGGCTGGAGTATAGTGGTTTGATCATAGCCCATTGCAGCCTTGACCTCCCGGGCTCAAGTGATCCTCCCATCTCAGCCTCCCAAGTAGCTGGTGCATACCACTGTACCTGGCTAATTTTTAAAATTTTTTGCAGAGAAAGGGGTCTTACTGTGTTACCCAAGCTAGTCTTAAACTTTTGGGCTCAGCCGGTCTCGGTGGCTCAGCCTGTAATCCCACACCTTTGGGAGGCTGAGGTGAGTGGATTGCCTGAGCCCGCGGGTTCGAGACCCGCCTGGGCAACTTGGCAAGACCTCATCTCTATGATAAATAAAAAAATGAGCCGGGTGTGGTAGCATGCGCCTGTAGCTCCAGCTCCTTGGAAGGCTGAGGCGGAAGGATCGCCGGAGCCCAGCAGGTCGAGGCTGCGGTGGCCGGGAGCAGCCACTGCACTCCAGTCTGGGCGACAGAGTGAGACTCCAACTCAAGCAAAACAAAACAAAACAAACAAACAAAAAACAAAAAATAACTTTTGGGCTCAAGTATTCTGCTTCATCCTCCCAAAGTGCTGGGATTGTAGGCATAAGGCACTGGGTCCGGTGCCCTGTTTTTCTTTTGCCTTAGGAATCTCACTCCCCATGGACACTACAGCTGATAGCTTAGAGTGTGTTTTTTCACCACACATTTTCTAGAATATATAAGTATATATGTGAATGTAGATTTCCTCACGTAAATTGGCTCGTTATGTATAGTGTTTTCTTTTTCCCCAGTGTATTTTGAATATCTTTCTTTGTAATTATATCCAGGTGTATTTCCTCCTCTGTAGTACCTGCAGAATATTTAATTGTATGGATATACCATATTTTGTGTAATCAACCCCCCACCAGTGGACATTTAGGTTGTTTTCAATTGTTTTATTTTCCATTATAATTAACACTGCATGCTGGGCACGGGGGCTCATGTGTATAATCCTAATACATTAGGAGGCTGAGGCAGGAGGATTGCTTGACTCCAGGAGTTTGGGACCAGCCTGGGCAACGTAGTGAGATATTGTCTCTATTAAAAAATAAATGAATAAGCCGGGCTCAGCGACTCAACCTGTAATCTCAGCACTTTGGGAGGCCAAGGCAAGTGGATTGCCTGAGCCCCTGGATTCGAGACCAGCCTGGGCAACTTGGTGAGACCTCGTCTCTACAATAAATAAAAAAATTAGCCGGGCATGGTAGCATATGTCTGTAGTTTCGGCTACTTGGAAGGTTGAGGCAAAAGGATTGCCAGATCCCATCAGGTCAACACTGGGGTGGCCGTGAGTATGCCACTGCACTCCAACCTGGGTGACAGAGTGAGACTCCAACTCAATTAAAAAAAAAAAAAAAAAAAAAAAAA